GAGATTAAGAAGAAACTAGAAATATCCAGACAAGATTCTGTGAATTTAAAAAAAAGTAAAGCTGCAGAAAAAAGAAATGTAGATTAGTATGGAACAGTAAGAAGACAGACAATTTCAATATGTATCCTGTATTATCTATATAAAATCATTATTGCAAACGATTTATACGACGTGGCCTCGGGAACTTTTCAGTGACAACTAAGCTGTGAATGAGTTATATTTCTTAATCAACTTTCTGGTAATTGGTTCCTGAAACCTTTGATCCTACCAAAGTAATCAAACAAAATTCAGACGAATCAAGTAAACTTTTGAGTAAACAAACATTTTTATTTTGATCTATATTGAATAGTGCAAAGGTATAACAGCTTCGCGCATATTTAAATTTGAAAATAATGGGAAAAGGAGACAACCCATTGAATTCAAAATAATGACAGGTAATACAGGGAACATATTGAGTGAGTGAAAGTGCAAAAAGAAGCCTTTGCGCTGTAAAAAGGATTAGCAAATATGAAAACCATTGTGATATATTACCATTTTTTATTCTTCCAACTATTAACGATAGAATACTGTAGAAATCTGAAATAGAGTTAAAATGATCACTGTAGGTCAATGATGATTCTGATTTGGTATAATTAAGGCAAATGGGGTACAGACAACAAAGAACGGGGAGGGTAGCGATGAAAGAAGGGATGGGTATAAGCTTATCTGTTGGTATTTTAAACGCGATACACACTCTGATTAAGGTACAGGTTCGGCGTTTCGTATCGTGGTTTTAGTTTTCTTTTTCAAGCCAAAAGAGAAGACGAAACAAGTTGTAGAAATGTAAAACAAATCAACATAAATTTGAGCTATTCTACCAAGGTTATGCCAATGCGACACCATTCTCTGAACAGAAGGTGCACATTTTTTCTAGATCCAATACATTTCTAGTAAATTTGGTTCATTGTGATCTATTGTTCAGCAAATCTTTTCTTTTCTCTCCAAACTATCAAATAACGATGCTAATTCAATAAAATTCTGGGCTAATCCCGCCGAAGCTGTAAACCTTGTTTATTTATTTTACCTAATAGCATCATTAAATATATTTTAGGCTCACTAATTACTATCAAAGCACTTATTACCGCTACTATAAATATAATGTAAGTATATATACCATGTGTTCAGACAGTGTTGAATTATGTCAAGGTATTTTTCTAACCTCGTTTCAGTGTGTTGGCAAGAACCAAAAATAAAAACAAATCTTGTGTTATCTTACGGTTTATTCATAATAAAAAATTCTTATGGGATACTTTTCCGAATATTATGCCCATAAATTTTGATTTTGATAAATGTAGATCTGGCAAATGCGTGAAAAACTGTTATGAAGGTTACTTTGAAATTTTGACATGCGGATCTGAAAAATGTACCGAAAAGAATTAAAAGCTGTAATCACATTAAAATCTGCTTTCTTCTCCAACTATGTACAGACAGCTCAGAATTCTTTCTGTCATTTCACAAATATGTAAGATAAAATGTTCATTTGGGCTACAAATATGATCTGCAAATATGAACAATATTCGGAATAAGACTCCAATGTGTTCCTTTCATTTGACCTAAGTTGGAAAGTAAGATTGTTAACAAGAAGACTATTTAAAAGTAACCATGTTTATACATTATAAGTGATGTTTTTCTTCAACAAGACACTTTGATTTATCTCACATCTGACTTTGTATCTGGTTTAAAAATCAAAATATTGGCACGAGTGTCTTTCTAATAACGTCCACACTTATGAGTGCGAGTACCGTGTTGTCGTCAAGGTATTTTCTTTCACAAAGTAATGATCGATGTTATCTGAAAGTTCAGATAGCGCTCGGCGACAGATTCACCTTTACGGATATTCAGTGGACTCAAAACCACTCCATCGCCACATAGCCCTATTAGGTGCAGAAGAGTAGGACGTAAAACTCCATTCATTCCAATTCATCAATTTGCTTCGAATCGCGCAGTCTAATGCCACTGTCTGCTTTTCAGTGTTTATCTCATCAAAGGAGATATCAGTTTGTGTTCCAGTAGAAAAAGAAATGTAAATGAACATAAGAAAATAATTTATCACCGCCAGTTTTTGTAAGTTTTTAGACGAATTTATCAAGTTAAGATAATTAATATTAGGGTGTTTTTATGTTTCAGACAGTTCTGTTCCCCATACATCATTATCAGTCTGAGAGTTGTTATTAATTGGGGAATGGCTGTTATTAAATTAGATATCAAGAGGAGAAACAAATATCTTATAGGTATCATCAAAAATTAGCTTTTATAAGGCTGAAAAATTAAAAATCAGAGGTTAGTCTTCAGCCTTTCAGCTTCACGCTCATGAGTCCAAGTCCAAAGGTTGCTTGGTACATATCATGTTAAGGTTAACTTTATTGAAAATGGTCTAGGGCTTGCTCAGAACTCTTTGACACGAACGTGGTAAATAGTCACTGCCTTGAACATAGGATACTAAATTTAAATGCCCTATTGTGGCTGATGTCTTTAGCGAAGCATAGCATGCTCAGCCTTCATGAACACTATATGCTAATTAGCGTTTGAGTTTGACAAATCTACACAGCTAAAATTAATATTGATGGTTAGGTATATTTATTAAATCCACTCATTATTTTATTTGAATCGTCGAAGGCGGAGGTTGCGTTCTCTAACTCAAGACACGAATTGTTGGTGATGCAAATAGCACCCAATTGACTCTCTAAATCTAAAGAATTTGTGGCAAGCTGATCGATTAAAGTACAACTTTCAAAATGGTAATCACGATTAAACGCGCCAAAATAAAGAAAAAGTTATAACTTTAAGGGAGGTAATATCATAAAATATGAAGTAGATTATTATTTAGACCAACTTCAAGGGAGGCAACCCTAAGTCAAATCTAAAAAATAATGATTCACTGTAATGAAGGATAATCGTATTTTAAGCAAGGACAGATTTAAGTGATGTCAGGTGTTCTAGAAGGCGTAGTACATTTTACCGACCACTGTTAAAGCCAAGCAAATTCTCATTTAGGCCTATCTTGGAAATTTGAAATTATCTGAATTTTCATGTAAAAAGATTACTGTATCAATTCAATAGGGTATACCTGTACTCTTATCAGCTTAAATTTAACAACACGAATCTAATTTTAAATATTTATATCTATTTTGAACTGATTTGCAGCATTCAAACAAGTTCTCTTCATTCATGTTCCAGATAGACGAAATCTATAAATAGTATCATTTTCTATTTCCAGAGATTCTTTCAATTTCTGTAATCCGGCATGAAGATAAGGAATTACGTCATAAATGGCACCAATATGGTCTACAGATAAAATTCCAAGAGATATCCTTATAGATATATTTATCCACTTTCTTGATAAAATAATTTTGGTTTTTATATTTTTCATGATTGCCTTTTACTATGTTTTCATCTTTTTACAGATAACGATTGTTGGATGTTTTATAATTTTTTGATAAAAATTATAACATGGATTCATATCTGTTTCCAAAATTTCTATATAAATATGTTCCGATGTTGATGTAAATATGGGGGAACGTTTTCTTTGAAGCTGAAATGGGAGAGTACCACCAGATGCCCTTTCAATAATAATATTTTTCAAATCCATTGGCAGGTTTATCAATGTTTACTAACAACTTTCATAATCTTGTTTTCATAAATGTTAAAAATATGCTTTTCTTCAAACCAAACTGTCTTCACCATTCAGAACTAGTTGATAAGAATCACAAATATCAAATATTTAATGTTCTTATCAGGAGAGCTCCTATGGAATGTGGGGTATGGACTGAGACTTGCCAACACCCACCCCCCTCACCCCTCAAAGTTTTGAACGTTCAATAAAAGGTATTATGCCATGCACAGGGAAACTATTGATAACTATAGATAATTAGAATTTTAGATAAATCATCACTTTTGAAAAATTATTTTGCTATTTTTTTTATTTTTTTTTAACTAAGAGCTTTAAACTTATCTACCAAAATATTTTAGGACGAATCCCTTTAATACCCCAGCTCAAACCCCAAGGCAGGAAGTAACCATAAGACTGTAACCGTTCACCTGGTTTATATTAATATAGACCAAATTACAAATAGACTATGTAACACTTTACTTATCTTAATAACAATCTAGACTTACAGACTGGGTGCGATTAAAGATAAACATCAACAATAACATGAAAAATAAAAGGTTGTGAACTAACCTATAAAAGCTGTCATTCTACCATTGAAAAACTATAGACCTCTATTCATTAATATTATTAAATTTTATATTTGTCCTCTATAGGACTGGATAACTTAGACCTAATAGCATAACGTTAACATTCTTCTACCTCACAAAAAAGTTTTAGAACTTTATACATTAATCCCAAATACAAATGTGGAACTTAATACATTAATAGTATTACAGCATACCTTCTACCCCAAGGAAAGCTGTAGAACTTAATACATTAATATCATAAAAGCTTACATTCTCCCCAAAATACATTATGTACATAAACGCTTTTACCCTTGCCCAGATGAAGCTTTAGAATTGTCAATCATAAACGCATTTCTACTAAACGCTTTTAAAAATTAACACGATCGTAAATTGTACGAAAGTACTAAATCGTGATGATGGAACCAATCTGGTCTGGTGTCTGGAATAATATCAGGAATTTCATTCTTAGCAGACATCATATTTTACACTCTCTAAAGAGAGTAGCAATCTGCCTTTATATAAACAAATGTAATAATCTGAACCTTGAACCCAAAGTACTCGAGGAACCAGACAGTTTATAAATGTCTGCATGAACATAATTAGATCTGGAATCCAATGAACAATCCTCAACGGTCAACTATTGCTAATAAATTAACACAAATGCCATTTTGTGTTGCTCTTTGTTCATACTCTGTTTAGTCCTGTTCTGTACAAACTGTTCAAATTCTTATTGACACACACGCTCGATCCACAACATCCACTCAGTGCGCTCAGCTTCGTGCTAATTAAGTTATTGTTCCATTTTTTTTATCTATTTGGTCAATAGTGATCGACCTTGCAACTCTACTAAAGCTGGCAACTACAGAAATCTGTTGCGGCTGTATTCGTCTTTGAGCGTATTTCTTTGAACAAACCATTCTAATTATGGCTTGTCTGAAATCGGTATTCTTCCACACGTATATGATGAAGTTAACTCCGGAATTGGCTATACCGAACGGTATGGTTCTACTGAGCCACAGCGACGAGTTTTTATCAACGGGACCAACTACAGTAACTACCAGCAATGGCAACCACGAAATAAAGAACAGTCCGAAAATTATCATAAAAGACCTCACTAACTTCATCTCTGATTCGAATCGACGTTTGTCATGAACAACCTCTCCGCAGCTCTTTCGCTGTGTTCTGCTGATATTCAAAATGTATCCATACAAACATGCTGTAATGACTGAAGCAATAAGAAATAAGACACCAACACAAATCATGTACGGCCGCGGTATCAGCCAAAAGACGTAACATGGTCGACATGGTCCCCAATGATTATAATACATTGGAATTGATCCTGTTATCAAGGAAAAAATCCACACAGACGTTATCAAAACAAGAGCCCTTTTACCAGTTGATATTAGTGGATAATGCAGAGGATATCCAATGTAGATCGTTCTGTCTACAGCAATGGCGACTATATGTAGTATTGAAGCTAATGCCGATACAAAAAATGACACATGTCGAAACAAACAGAAATATTCATCTTCACTATCGAATTTACGGACAACTGGAATATAGAATAATGCTTGTATTGGAACAGCCAAACCACCAACCAGCAAATCAGCTACTGCCAGAGAGACCACGTACATATTGGGTACAGTTCGTAATACTGGTGTTCTCCAAACCACTGCAATAGTCAGTATATTACCAGAACAAATAAATACACACAAAAACAAATTAACCACTGTATAAAATAGAGATTGGTCTTCAAATCCCATGAATTCTATTTCTAAAGTACAATTTTTCATCTTTAATTAGACTTATCAGGAATTTTTCACATCACAACTTTGTAATTTATTTTGCTCCGGTGATCATATGTACCGTTAAGATGAAATAAAGTGAATTGTATCCTCAGAAATGCCACATTTTGCAAATCCTTGACACATTAAATATAACAGATATTGTTAATCACAAAAAAAAAATAAAAAATTCATAAAAATCTTGTAATAGCAGGAATCTATAAAAATTAAAATTCACTAGTCAATAAGCTGTCAATATTTAGTGAAACACCGGGGAATTATGAGTTCCGGAGATGACCGATTTTATGAGTTCCGGAAGACAAAAGAACGATCGTTTTTTGATATGACAATAAGTTTATATTTGAACTGATAATCCTGATGAAATATATCCCAGAGAATGTCACATCTTAGGTGTGTTCAAGCAGAAACAATCGTTTTTTTTGTAGAAAGGTAATACCATTTTATTGTGACTGATAATCCTGATGCTTCTTGTTTAAGATTTTCATCCACACATTATGTATAACAGAATATTCAGTTCTCAGATCACAAGAAGAGTAATGGAGTAAAATCTCAAAACAGCAATTCAACAGTATACCTAAACTGTCAACATGTAGTGAAACATCCGGGGGAATGCATCCCGGGGAATGTCTATTTTAAGTCTTCAAGCTTTAACTTTGACATGCGGATGTCGTCCATATTTGTTGAATCTCGTTCAAGCTTAAACACTGACATATAATAATATCGTCCATAGTATAAGCTAAAACACAACTTTGATATCCTGATATCGTCAATAGATGATGAATCTAGTTCAAACTTCAATATAACTTTATCATGCGGATATCTTTAAAAGTTTATCAGGAAATATTCCTGCTATAAAGTATCGGATATTAAACACAATGCAGGTTATTATGATGATATTATAATAAACAGTTTGAAGACTGATATATGTAATTGGTGCCACAGTGATAAACGATCAACAATATTACTCTTAATGATTATTACATATTTAAATATCAAGATTTCCCTACTGAATAGCATCGCAATTCGACTACAAATTCTTTATTACACAGTTTCATTGATTATATGGTTTTGAAGGCTCCAATGGAAGCTCATTATTTTCTAATCCGAATCTTTTTTTTACAATTTTATGCTCTGGGCTCCAGTGGCGTTTTTAGGAAACATTAGTGGAGGGGGCCGAGAGGGGGCCGAGAGGGGGCCACAGAATTTTCAAGGGGGCGAAAGGCTATGCTTCACTATGTAAGTTGATAAAAAGTGGGGTGGAGGCCAAGCCCGGCCACCCCCTGGGCCCCTGTAGAAACGCAATACTTGGCTCCCTTTTGATTGGTCTGTGTTGTATTACTGTCAGAATGGATTTCGAGGGTGTTCATTAACTTTAACATTAACTTAACCAGTACATTTCTGAAAGTTTGCTCGCCTGATAATGACATTTTGAAAAGTGGAAACCATTGTTTCCAGCACTTTTTTTTATTTGAATAGTTTTATTGAAGAAAGTTTTATGACGAATAATATGATTCATGGAAAGAAAGAATTCAACGGTTTCCATGGATCTTCCATTGAATAAAGTTTCATTTTTTATATATATATATAGCACAGATGTATTTGATTATTTATAATTTTTGATTGAGTTTAATGTATATTTCTTGTCAAACGCTTTCATATTTTCATTGATTAATATCCTGGCATCCAGTCAAAGGTATTAAATGAAGTTTGGCTCCGTAGGTAAAGGTCAGCTGTAGAGGTAAATGAAAGACATGGCGCGTGCAATAATTAAAGGAGGAACTCGTTGTAATTTGCTGAGTACGTATAAAACATGTCTTTTAATCTTATTATAGATTTAGAGAAAAAGAAAAAAAAGATCAAACAAATTAATTTTCTCACATGATTACATTTAATTTCAGATCGAATGTAGATGTAAATTAAGTATCAAAAAGGAAAATTGCTAGATGGAAGTTGCATAAAGTGACTATATTTGAAGAGTATCGACCAAATCTCTATACGGTATATTGTATTTATTCCAAATCGATTTATCTGGAGCAAAATCAAATTTACAAGATTTCAATGCAATTATTTCCCATTGTTCTCATAATGCATGATTTAAGATGCCCATGAATAAATATACTAAACGATATTAGATGTGTAGACTCTCTGACATCCAGAGACAAACACAGGGCCCAAATGGAATATTATTTGAGGATTGATATCTACAAGGAAAGATTCCTTTAAGACAGTAATTGTGAGTCGGTGTATATCTGAAGTATATAATGATAATACCAGGTATGTAATATATTAGAACAACGTGAATCACACATTTACTTATATATCATTTATATATCATTTATAATCCGATACCACACAGATATAAAGTTCATACAGTGAAACCCGTATCAAAACTTCCCGTCTCTATCAGACATCTCATCTCGTACAGACATTTATTTCTGAGTAAAAAATCATACATGACGAGCATTAATAGGCCTTCTTATTTCAAAAGAACATCCAGATATGTATCGATATTTTTAAATTATGTAACCAAGGTTCAGAGCCAAAACCATATATCGTTGTCATATATCGTGGGCCATCGTGGTCATGCCTCGTTGGGCATCGTTGCCATATATTATCATTATGGGTCATTGATGTTTATCGTATAACGTTGTTGATCATTGTTATCTATCGCGGGTCATCGTGGTCATATATCGTGCAAGGTATCAAGCATACTGTTACTGGCAATATAACAGCTGATCATTATTTGTATTTAGAATCCAGACGTTGTAATTCGTTTCTAAACTTGATTTAGAGGTAAGAGATACCCCAGGCTGGGTATAATGATTTTGCCAAAGTTATTTCGAATCGTAACTGCCAATTCAGTTCTGTATTATCTATTCGATATTTTTTGAGATACATTTTTATTCAGTATTCCAAGGACGTGATGATCAAGGTATTACGTATTACAAAATAGCTATATGGACACATGTACTAATGAAAAAAAGGGGGAACAATTTGAAATATTGTGAAGTATTCAGTATACTGTACACCAGTATACTGTTTCGTCAAATAAACAGTGCAGCGAGTGCATGTTGCACCTGTTTTCTATATTCAAGGTAGATAATGCATTAATTGTGTTATTATTACAGTTTCTGTTATTATCTATTACATATAATGATTACATATTACTATAAATATTTATTCTGATATACTTAGCTACAGGAGATTCTGTTGCACGCTAATCAAGGCCGTTTGTTATTTACATTTAGACAAATTGATTTATATTATTGATGTGATTTCTGGGGGATACTTCTTTTAATATTGTTTTAAGCAGAGATTTGCAGCCTGGGGGTAATAAAGCGCTTTGTTGTCGAGCATAAAATGTTTGAACAATAATAATTTCAGTCGTTCTATTCAGGGAAAACCTGAGAGAAAATCACGAAATAGTCAGGATTTATAGGGGGCTTAGGGATGCAATTGATGAAGGATCCTAAAAGGGGTAATGGACAGAGTTAGAATGGACACGAGGGCATCCCAAAGAAACTAAAGCTTTTGAAAAACATCTACGTCTACACCAGGAACGTCAATGAACCCGAGAATATCAGCGACACCGTGAGCATTCAGATGAGCCCGAGTACATCACCTTACACGAAAGGTTTTCTGGCAGCAATAGAACATCATTAACGTCAACTGGTGGAAGTAGTCATTTTTGGATTATTGATGAACCTTGGACATCCTTGAACATGAACTCCGTGTTCGAACATCGATAAATAGGAGAAAACATTAGTAACAACAATGTCTCAGCTCAGTATCTCGGAAACGCCAGTGAACCTCTGGAAAATGCCAAAAACCTCAAAGAACGAAACGTCAATGGATCCAAAGCATCACGAAACTGAAAACCCTAGAGTACCATAAGAACTCCAATGAAAGGTGGATATTCCAGTATCTCGAAAAGTTTGGAGCATAATATATGTTTGTTGTTAATTTCAGACTAAAAATTTGATACAGCATTGCAACATCATTGAAGTAATGCACCAAAAACATTAATGAAACTTGTGTCTCAATGGAACAATTTATCACTTCAGGAATGAATTGGAAGGTAATCTACTATAATACAAAAAAGATGTATCTTATCTTAAAACCATTAAGTCAAAACACAATTTGTTATGCCAGTTAAAAAGTTAAGAGTAATTGGCAGAAGGAAGACATATTGTTAAACTAGCTGTCTGATTTGTCTTGATATCCTTCACAATATTCTACAGCAATCTGATATTATACACCTTATTTCTTATATATACTTCTTAATGTCAAATAAACAAACGAACATTGAACTGAGCGAAGATTGTTGTTTCGCAATCCGATAAGACTGATTTTAGTTTGGATTTTCTTTGTTTTATTTCTATGGTTTTAACTTTTACTCTTCACATTAGATTAGTTTTTTTTTTAAAAGTTTTTAAGAAGTTACACTGAAAAGGGAACGAAACAAAAGGGATCTGAATATCATTCTGAATAATATAAAAAGTATTCTTTCCTTGAAAGTTTAAATGTATAACGTTTAAGGAATGTTCTGATATTTTAGTTTTAAATCTATAGACGGATGTTCTGAGAAATTCAAATTTAAATTCAAATTCAAATCTTGAATGTAGGCCAATTGTATATCATACACGGTGTCATAGCCTACAATAATTGGCACTCTGTCCGTCTAATCTATTTATCAGTTGTGATTGGAAATGCTGACATGGCAAATTATCAGAACATTCGCTCATATGTTAGCACCATCTCAAGAAAAGTTAACATATAGGGCTTAGGCTGTCATAAGCATCATCTGATGATACAAAAAAAACCAATTTGAATTCGATTATTGTGTTATAAATTTTAGAAATATTCAGATACCAACAGATAAGCTATTCAGACAATGGGAAAGGAAAAGGGCACCACTATACATAACTATATATATACACGAAGAAGTTTGAAATCTGTTTGATTTAATGAATGGAATCAAACGAAAT